CTCTGGCTGCCGTCGACAGGTCGCCCGCAAGCTGGTCGTCCTTGAGGGAGAGCTGGAGCGCTCAGAGGAGAGGGCAGAGGTGGCGGAGAGGTGAGCGGGGCTCCCGGCAGGCAGCGCGCGGGGGTCCCACACAGCCCTTGCCCCAGGTCCCTGGCAGCCGTGGGGATGGGGATGTCTGCGTGGGGACGGGGATGTCCCTCCCTGGGAGCTGCAGTCTGCCATCGGGGTGGTCCCTGGGCTCGCAGGCTGGGGGCGGGGGGATGCCAGGCCGCCAGCAGCACATCCTTGACCCTGTTCTCTGCTGTCCTCCCCCGGGGTGCCCCTCTTCCACCCCAGCCGAGTGAGACAGTTGGAAGAAGAGCTGCGGACCATGGACCAGACTCTCAAATCCCTCATTGCCTCAGAGGAAGAGGTACTGGGGCAGGGGCGCGGGGCGACGTGCAGCAGCCCCCCTCTCTCTGTTGCTGTCTCTCAAACCGTGCAAGCCACCTCTCTCCTCTCTGCACCGCTAGTTCCGCCACCGACCTCCCCTCGCCTCCCCCTCCAGTGGGCGCAGGCTGGGCACGCTCCTCCATCCCTCCATGCCTGCTCTCCTTCTTGGTGGGGCTGGCAAGAGCCCAGCCGGCAGTGATGCACGGGGCGTCCATTTGAGGAGGCACGAGGAAGGGATGAACGGATGCGTCCCAGCAGCTCCTGCTCGCAGCATCTCTGCTCCTTCTCCACCTGCGCTGAGTTTTCTCCTCTCTCAACTTGTTATCTCTCTTTCTTTCCTCCTTCCCCGCACCCGCTTTTTCTGCTCCCCCCTCTCTCCTCCACCTGCCCCTCGGCCCTGCTCCCCCTCCTGGCGGCCCCTACTTGGGATGTAGTAAATGTGGTGACCTAGAGGAGGAGCTGAAAATTGTCACCAACAACTTGAAGTCCCTGGAGGCCCAGGCTGACAAGGTAGGACCCGGCGGGGCTGCTGGGGCTGGGCAGAGTGCTTGGGGCCTGGGGGTGCTGGGGTTTCCTGCTGGGGTGAAGGACGGCAGGAGGTGTCCCATGGGGCTCACAGGCACCTGTCTCTTTCTCTGCAGTATTCCACCAAGGAGGACAAGTATGAGGAGGAAATCAAGCTTCTAGGGGAAAAACTGAAGGAGGTAAGGGGTGTGGGGCCAGCACTGCATCGGTGCAAGCGTGAGTTTGCCATCCCGTGTGGGTTTTGACCCCATTATGCCCGTGTTCTCTCACCCTTCCCAAAACTGCAGCCCTGCAGCGTGGCAGGTGCCTGGGTTTGGGATGGCCCTGTGGGGGGCATCAGCCTGCTCTGGTTTAGGGTGTGGGGGTCCACAAGGTCCTTGTCCCTTTCCTTTCCCAGGGGAGGGCTCGTGGGGGGTGGTATGGGAGATGCAGACGGGGCAGATTTGGGGTGAAGTGCAGCCTGCACCATCCCCATCCCCGCCCCTCCCCCTCTCCCCCCATGCTTCCACAGGCTGAGACCCGAGCAGAGTTTGCAGAGAGGTCTGTGGCAAAGCTGGAGAAAACCATCGATGATCTAGAAGGTACAATGTCCCCGCTGGCCCTGTATCCCTCTTTTGCAGGGAGCACTTGCTGGGACATGCCCCTGGTGGGGCCGAACAGGGCTTGGCCTGGGTGAGGGGGTGGGCAGGGGTTCCAGGAGGCTGGATACTGTGGTGTCTGCTGTGGGAGGGCAGAGCTGCTGGGCTCCGGGCTCTGCCCTCGGGTGGGGAATAGGGCCGCATCCACACCACCTGTGCCCGCATGCTCCTGCCGCCCTCGGCCCCCCGCTCACAGCCACTCTCTCTCTCTCCGCCGCCC